GATTTTTTGAAATTTTTTGAAGACGTTTTCTTCGTAAAAATTCCGATGAATGCGAAGATGGCGCACACTGAGATTTGAACCGCTCAGAAAAACGTGTGCAGACATGTCAGCATTATCTCCCCATATTAGCTAAACGCTACAGACTATGCCCTACCTGATTACCACATTGTCCGGTCTATCGCTCATCACCTGAGAGAACACCAGCTCATTAACAAAAATGGGAAAAAACGGATTTTTAGCCACAAAGTGAGTGTTCTGCGCATGGATCGCGGATGCGACCTTACCCTTGTATAGGCCTTTTGACCCTGCCCATACACCGTGAACATGAGATCTTATCAGAGCTTCTGAGATTTTTAAGAATTAAAATAAAAAGTGTAACAGAAATTATCCGACAACCTAATATTAAGGAATTCCTTACATGTCATTGCAAATCATTGTCGCTGAATCAGATGTTGACTTTCCTGCGACAACTTCCCATTTTCCGTGAAACGCAGCCAGTTCGATTTGGATAAACAAAAAGGCAAGAAAGAATATTCTTTCCTAGCGCTCCTGGGCCGTGTGAAATACAGAGTGTCCCAAAAAAATGTATCGAACGTTTGATCGTTAATATCTCTCTTCTAAAGAAGTCTTTTCCCTTGCTTCAGGTACCAATCTGTAGACTTGGCTTCAACTTAGATTTGCATTATAGAACGAATCACTCATTTCTCTTTATTACTGTAGGATTACGGTAGAAACTTAAAAGAGGGTTCTAAGCAATGAAAGACCGTATTTTGCCTTAGAAAGGAAACAAAACAGCCTGAAAGCTTTTACACTAGGCTAATTAGAGTTGCTGATTATAACTGTAAAGTTCCCAACTTATTATGATACTTCATTAAAGAGTTATGCCAGGTAAGAGGTAGCGGCCATTTTTTCAATGTTCCTAAAAAGTGCGATTACACCATTTAGAAAGCTTCGTAATCTTGTGAATAGTTGAGTATTGAACTCAGAGTCCATAAAAACCCTATTACACAAGTTTTCACACTTTTTTGAAAAATTTTGAAACGGCACTTTTTCCATATTGACACCATATGTTTCAAGTTTCTACCGTAATCCTACAGTAATGAAGAGAGTTGGGTGATTCGTTCTGTAATGCAAATCCAAGCTGAAGCCAGCTCTACAAAACGGTACTTGAAGCAAGGCAAAATGCTTCTTGAGAAGAGAGATATTAACGATCAAACGTTCGATACATTTGGGACACCCTGTATATAGCAAAGGGATTTGCTTATAGAATTATCGCCTCTTTGCAGATTTTGTCCCAGTCGCCTTTCTTCAAAAATTATAAGCTCACCACTCTCACTCATCCCAAACAGATTTTTGATGCATAGAGGGCATAAATCCAGGCTATTGCTTCGTGAGAATTAAGCAATAAAATAACGTGCGG